TGTATCTGTTCCAAATAAATATCAGTAGATAGCTAATCAAAAGTTAAGACAGGGACATGTGAGCTGTTTTGACCATTAATGAATAGTTTCGACACAAAAAAATCCTACAGTTGAAGGATCTCGATTGTCAACACCCTATATCTCTGTAATAATTCCCACTAGACACCAAGTGTGATGCATTGATGAAATCAACTCTTCAGGGAAAACTCAAAAATGCAATAATATACAAGGTGTTCCATTGAAAAAAAAACAATCATCAACCGATATCTTGGAATTCGAACACCCTATAGATATGAAAACAACTTTAGGTGATTATTCTTATGAAACCCTATTACTGTTGTACTTGAATTTTCATTCTATATATATGACGGTTTGGCTAATATCGGAGGAGAACACACTAGTGACTCATTCTGTATACGAATAATATTCTCCCATAAATCTTGAACCTCCTTGAAACATCATCAAAAACCGCCTCAAGTTGTTACTATGATGTCCTGAGGTTGTCTCAAAAGATTTTATAGGGATGTTCTGAGACGTTATTAGTATGTAGAGAATCGTAACAGGAGGACGTCTTAAGAATGTCCTCTGGTTCGCTCTCGACGTCCTGAGGACATAATTAAGAATGCCTCAAAAGGGCCTTAAAATGAATTTGTGCTATCTGGGATCATATCTTTGTTTTCCCGCACTAGTGCGGAAAAAATTTCCCGCACTAGTGTGGGAAAATTTTCCCGTACTGTTGTTGGAAAATGACACTTTCCAAACTAAATTGCGTGCGGGTATAGGGTGAATCACGCACGCTAGTAGAAAAAAAAATTTTACCCACGCCGAGTCAGTTTAGGATGTTGAAAAACGATAGTCCCTCTCAATTACTCCAGTGATCTTCTGAAAAATATACTTTTCTGAAAGAAGGTCGATACGGGCCGAGTGAAGTTTGGTAAGGTTTTGTCTCCTTTTTCATGCTCGTGTACGAAATGATATATTTCTTTCTCAGCTATCTGGCAAACAGAGATATATCTGAATAAACAGTAACGCTGTTTGCCTGAAATGTGAAATGACAAGGCGTTTCAGGCATTGAAGGATTTCACACGTTGACGTCGATATATACTTCTTCGAATGGTTTAGGTACCATATGATCGATATTAATGTTTTTGTAGTCTCCCTGATGATGGAAATATTTATTTCCGAAAGCTCAGAGGAACTGTAATGAGTTCACCTTACTTTTGTTGCAATCTCCACTAACAAGGTAGTTTCGTCTCTAACTAGTCAACAACGACTTTTCTTTCTACCATATACTGGGCGTTCCATAGAAAAAGGTAAATATTCTAATTTGTGAATAGGGGTCATTGAGAATCGAGATATGTTTCATCAATTTCGCCCATATCTTCATTGTCTCATAACTTCAGAACCAACTAATATATTTATTTTTTGGAAATAGTTTCGTCTTCTACTGAGTGTTGTTTATATTTCACCCTTTCTCTACGGTAATGATAACGGCTCAGAGCCCGAACCACGAGAATTAGGAAGGTAGATGCAAGTTTGTGCAGTTTCCAATTGTGAGAACATAAAAAGTCGATTCAGTCTATTCGAATTTCCATCCATATAGGTTCATGCCACAAAATTTGCGAGGTATTCGAATTTCATGGTGAAATATATAAAATTTTTCAACGCATTTTCATCAGGTACACTCCAGAACGAAAGATCTGATCTTGAAGAATAGTATTGAGAAGAAACATTCTCAGATATATTTATGAACATAAAAAAATGGATATATATCGGGTGGTCACAAAAAAAAGAAGTTATTGGCATCGTTTCATAGCTAAAGGGCTATTGTATACAGTGGAATATTTGAAAATTCCATAATGAACAAAAACGAAATGGCGGATTCTACCAAAGTATTGTCATTTACAAAAACCGCTAGAGAAAAAGAAAACTAGATTTTTTTCAACCTGTACCGATGTCATCTTAGGCTATCCATTTCTGAAAAGAATGAGTACTCGAACATCGAAATCAAACAAATAGTTTAGTAAATACACTCATTTCTTTGCAATTTGTTATGGAGTGAATGTGCGAATCTCGTATAAACGATTACCTATTATTATTTTGCTTCAGGCTTTATGGAAATTCGATAGAATTTGGATTTCTTAGAGTTATTTCGAAGGTAAAGAACTATAATACACAATGGAACATTTGAAAATCCAATAATTGAAAGAAACAAAATGGTGTTTGTTCTTTCAATCAGGACCGATACAATTTCAGATCATTGATTTTTAAAAAGAATGAGCATCCAAACATCTGAATCGAATGTGCTAATCCCGTGATGAGAATTACTTTTAGTTCGCTTCTGGCTTCATCAGAATCAGATCGAATTTGGATTTCACTCCATATCACTTTGCCAAAAAGAACGTGTTTCTCTTGGACTAATTGTTCGATTCAGATGTTCGAGTGCGCATTCTTTTCAGAAATCAATGATCTGAAATTGATTGGTCTGGATTGAAAAAATAAACATTTTTTTATTCGCCAGAAATTTTTGAAAATCACAAAAATTCTGGATTCTCCACCATTTTGTTTTTTTCAATTATTGGATTTTCAGATGTTCCATTGTGTACTACAGTTCTTTATCTTTGAAATAACTCTAAAAAATCCGAATTCGATTGAATTTTCATGAAGCCTGAAGCAAAATGATAATAATCGTTTATTCGAAATTAGCACATTCACTCCATAACAAATTGCAAAAAAATTAGTGTATCTACTGGACTATTTGTTCGATTTCGATGTTCGAGGACTCATTCTCTTCAGAAATGAATAGCCTGAAATAACATAGGTACAGGTTGGAAAAAATCTGATTCTCTTTTTCTCCAGCGGTTTTTTCAATTGATAATACTTTGGTAGAATCCGCCATTTTGTTTTTGTTTATTAATTTTTTAATTATTTAATTTATTAATTAATTTTCAAATATTCCACTATATACTATAGTTCTTCCGGTTTTTTTGTGACCACCCGATATATATGAATTCAAGAAGATTCAAACTCTACATCAAGGGGATCCTGCGAGGAGGATTGCTTCCTGTGAGTGGTTCAATAGATGTTTGACACAAAATTTTGTTTTACCAAAATAGATTTCATGGAGCAATAAAACCACCTTCAATAATTGCGGAATATTCAACAGAAAGAAGAAACACATGATTATATGCTCAACAAAATCCTCATCTAATCCAAGAAAATATGCCTCAGAAGCGTTTCTCTATAAATTTACGGCGTGGTTTGCTGTAAAATAGGATGATTGGACCAATATTCATTGAAAACATGTTGAACAAAGTCAAATACTTGAATTTGCTTCGAAAAAATCAAGAAAATGTGTTCGACGAATTGCTTGTAGGAGTTTGTCGGCGATTATGGTTCCAGAAAGATGTATATGGAGCATATAATGCGGGAATTGTACAGGATTGTTTGAACGCGCGATTTTCTTGACGATGAGTTGGAACTAACGGTCCAGTAAGATGGCCACCTCGATCCTCATGTTTGAATCCTTCATACTATTTCATGTTGGGTGCAAAATATGATCTACGGTGATCCTATCACAGATTCAAGAGAGCTGAGATGAAAAATTGATGTATCTTTTCAGCCAATTACGCCAGAAATGGCTATGACTGTTCGAGAAATATGTTGACTTTGTGGCTTCTTGTTCTTTAAAATGATATCAGTGAGATACAGAATGAAAAAGTTCATTGATTTCTTGAAACGAGAAAGATCAGGTCCTTATTTCGAAGAAAAAGTTGGTGGTTGCCTGAATGAACGAAACGATGTATGAAAAAAAACTAAAATTACCGGAATAAAAAACATCCGGAATGAAAGAAAACATGTTCGTGTGTTGAGAATATTATTCATATTCAGCATAGTGTTCTCCATGATATATGTTCAGTATTCACCTTCTCATGAATTTTTGACTCTCAATATCATTTACTTTTCTCATTAACTGTTCCTGATTCTCATCAATCTAACCTTGTTGAATCATATATATTCGTATCATCACACAATTCTCGGATACATTTTTAATTTTCTATTTTTATTATCGAATCAATTATCAAAATCATAAGTGAGTGAAGTTTTGAGTCACGTGTATTTTCAAATTCAAAGAATATGAGTTTTCATTTCATCAGATACCTAGCAGAACCATGTTCCTCATCATATAATATATGAATATTTTTTATCCTCAAAGTAGTATCACCAATACGATGAAATAGGGCACTATTTCAACATCAAGAATATTTCAACTGATGATATCTAGAAACCTCATTCATGTAGGTGAGGCCACTTCCCAAAGAAAGTGACAATATATAGAAAATTCTCCACATATCATCTAATTCTTGAAACAGTAGTCTGGTGGCTCATGGTTCGTTTCCTAGAAAGAGAAGAGGCTTTTTCCAAATTGATGCACATCGCAGGACTTTGGATGTGATGTCAACACCAGCAAGGTCGAACAAATCTCTACCAGAAGTGAGACACAATCATTTCCTTCATAACACTACTACTACTAATACTGATGACAAGAGTGCAAGTATACGGAGGGACTTGATGGAGTTTTCAAAGACAAAGGTTCAGAATGCGTTCATCTTATCTGGGTCGAAATTGAGCTATTCATTAGACGATTTGAAAGATGAAGTAGACACACTTGAAAAGTCAGGAATATACGAGATAAGTTGTTAAGATTGTGATGAAACATATACAGGTATTGGCCAGCGACCAATACAAATGAGTTTCAAAAAACATCTAGCGCATGGTTGGTTTGATCCATCATGTGTAATCGATTACATGTTCAATGCATCTCGTTACATCTTCGGTGGCACAATCTGTATTCAAATGTCTATCATGTGCTTCGTCCTTTTCCTATCAATAGTGTACTTGACAACTTTCTCATTCTATTATCCATCTGTTCGAATATAACTGAACATCATACTGTTATCACTTCTCACACAATCAAAAATTGATTCTGTTGCACTTACCTTCACAAATGCTTCCAGATCTTCCGAGAAAGGCTTTGACGTATACAAGCCTTTGAGCTCGATTCCTACTTGAGTTTTATTCTCCACATTCATTGAATCTTGTACAAGCAAACTGGGATCAGCATCATTCAGTGCAGCGAGTCGAACCACCGTTTCTTCTATTAAATAAAAATATGTGAGTTGCGTCTTTGCATCAATAATCCATGTGGATTCACAAAAAATATCTACACCAAATTCAAGAATTTCAGAAAGTGTATCCATTCGAAATCTATATCTGACCCCAGTACTGTATTGATTATAGAAAAATCATCAATGCATGCAGTTCATTATATATCACCAGATAACAGGCTTTCAGGCCGTCTATATGATTTAAAGCAAAATCAACATTGATCACAATTCCTGTCCATCCTATCAATTCCTATAGAATGTGTTATTGATTTTTTTTATAAAAACATATTCGGCACATGCAAACGGCAGAACTTTGTGAGTATGCACTCATCAATTGAATGAAAACTTTAGAATAGGCGCCACAGCAGCTTTTCAATCAGAGCAAGAATTATTTATTGATTTATGTAGTTGAACAGCCAAGAAGTACTTAACGGGTTGACCAGCAAAAATTGACATGGAGATATGATGTTGAAGATGATCATAGGGATGATTCACGAAGATCAACAAACGGAATAGATTCAACAATGTAACAACAGTATATTTCTCATGTTGGCGCAGAGTGTATATGGACGTCAAATACAGGGTTGGGCAAAAGTATGGAATCAGGTGAATATCTTGGTAACCGTTTGTTGATTTTGTTTGAATATACGTATAAAGTGATTTTAAAACGTGGTGGATTTGAAAATCTTATCGTACATGTTGACACTTTTTCAGTTCTACCGGAATAATAATCAACTTCGTTGTTTCAAATAGAACACCCGATATTCTATTAAATTTTCAGATTCTTCCTGGGAAGCTGATTTTATCGATTCATCACACTTGGGGTCTAGCAAGAATAATAACTAAGATATAGGGTGTTCAAAATCTAGATTTTTCGAATTTAGGATTTTTTTGTGTCGAGACTATTCATTATTGGTCAAAACGGCTCTTATGTCACTTTTTTAACTTTTGATTCATTATCTATTGGTATTTAATAGGAACAGATACAGGGTGATCAGATTTCTGCATCTTGAATCACCCTGTATTTGTCTCAAATGAATGTGGGTAGATAGATAATCAAAAGTTGACGTAGGGACATATGAGCCGTTTTGACCAATAATGAAGAGTTCCTACACAAAAAATCCGAAGGTTGAAAAATCTCGATTTCAACACCCTATATCTCAGTAATCGGTCTTGCTAGACCCCAAGTGTGATGGATCCATAGAATCAGCTCTTCAGAAAGAATCTGAAAATTCGATAAGATACAGGGTGTTCTATATGAAATTAGGAAGTTTATAATAATTCTTGAAAAACTGAAAAAGTAGCAACATTGACGATAACATTTTCTAATCCTTCACGTTTTGAAATCATCCTGTACATATATTTGGACGAATCTAACAAGCGGTTACCAAGATATTGTCCTGGTTTCATACTATTGCCCAACCCTGTATTCAATGGATTCACAGCCTGCAATGCAGACATTTTATAAATTATAAATCGAAATATAAATATGAAGTTAGATACTTTCATAAATCATGATCTCAAGTGGATTCATTCATTCTGAAAGAGTTTTGCCGCTGCATGAAATACTTTGAGTAAGGATTATGAATCTTGGTGATTATGAATATAGAAAATTTAGGACGTGAACTATTTGGGGTATTATGAACATATGGATGCAATAAAAACACTCTGGTCTGCATTTCCTCCTATGGTCCAACCATTGCAACACCATGGGGGAATCAGAGGGGTAGGCCTCTTTTCTAGTGAAAACTATTTCAGACTGATTTCATACAGTGTGTATTAGAATGAAGAACAAATTCATTAAACAAAGACAATTGAAAAAAAAAACACAGATTTCAAAGTCGATCGACCACATCTAATATATAAAATTCTCCTGTCCCGATCACGGCGTTAGTGGTCGAAATCCTCCGAAACGGCTCGAACGATTCGTATGCATTTTTTCTGTAGATATGTCAATCGGTCGTTATCTATTTTTCCAATCAAATATTCATGATCCATCCAATATGGCGGACGAGTATTGTTATTCGTTTTCATTCAAAATTGGTTTTTGGGGGTTCTCGGGGTCGGATATTATAATTCTTTCGTCAAAATTTTGAAATTCAAGATGGCGGATCCAATATGGCGGAAGAGTCCTGTTATTATAATCAGATTCCATTCAAAATTCGTATATGGGGGTTTTCGAGGTCGGAGATTATGATTTCTTCATCAAAATTAGAAAATTCGAAATGGCGTATCCAATATGGCGTACGTGTATTGTATCTATGGTCAGATTTCATTTCAAATTGGTATCTGGGGGTTCTCGAGGTCAGAGATTATGTTTTTTTGATCAAAATTTGGAAATTCAGAATGGCGAACCCAATATGGCGGACGAGTTCTTTAAATGGGATCCTATTATTTTCAAAATTGGTATCTGAGGATTTTCGGGGTCGGAGATTATGATCCGTTCGTCAAAATTTGGAAATTCGAAATGGCGGATCCAATATGGCGGACGAATTTTGTAATTATGGTCAGATTATATTCAGAATTGGTATCTAGAAGTTTTAGAGGGCAAAAATATGAATTTTTTGTCAAAATGGGGAAATTTTGAATAGCAGATCCAATATGGCAAACGAGTTTCCTGAATATGATCAGATTTTATGCAAAATTGGTATCGGGGGGTTCCTGGAGTCGGAGATAATAATTCTTTCATCAAAATTCGGAAATCCAAGATGGCAGATTCAATATAGCGGACGAGTTCTGTAACTATAATCCGATTCCATTCCAAATTTGTATCTTGGGGATTTTGGGATCAGAGATTATGATTCTTCATCAAAATTAGGAAATTAAAGATTCTATTCAAAATTTTCATCTGGGTGTTTTCGGGGTCGGAGAAGAATTAGGAAACTGAATAATAAACGTATGTCGATGTATTTAACTGAAAAAATATTTTCTATAAATGATTGTATATGGCAAAACAACCTAAGCCGGGTATCAGCTAATGTAATAAATATCAGTTTGAAGAACTTATGAAACACCTTTCAATAGACAGCCAAACTAGAAAGAAGTGAGTAGAAAATACAGAGTAGTTTGGAAAAATGAAGAGGTATAGAGTATCGAACTGAACAGAAGTAGAAAATAAATAGAGTAGTTTGAAAAACTGATTAACAAACTGAAAAGAAGTATAAATAAAATAATGGATGTTTTTTCATTAATATTCATCTAAAAATTTTTTTCTAGAAATAATATTTATGGCAAAACAACGTTTGCCAAGTCAGCTAGTATTATTTGAAAGTATGATTAAAAAACAGTGATCGGTTTTGACACAACGGTCATCATCGGACTGTGCAGTACCTGAAATACATCATGAATGTGGTGATTGAAATTGTCACTTTAGAACAAAAACTTACGATAGTCACATTGGATTCATCAAAAAAGAGATTTCACAATATCAAGAATTATCATTAGGCCGAGATGTCAGGTAAATAGAATGTTTTGTTCAAAACGGCTGAAGAGCCAGGAAAATCTGACCCTAATCAATTGAACATCGAAAAAACTGAGTTTTTTGTCTAAATCACAAAAGCCACATGTTGACTGGAGAAAATTGATTTAGAGAATGAAAAAACGAACAATTGACGTGACAGGCTGACATACAGACATATGAGGCACGAACATCATGGAACAGAAGATAATGGCGAGTGATACAAGGTCACAATATCAGCAACCTAGGTTCTGAAAGTGGAGTTTTATTGAGGAGAGAGAAGGAAGCCAAAAGGATCGATAATAAGTGATGTCGTGTGCAAATATAAAGAAGAAAAGAACATAGAAACATGAGAAAAAAAAAAAGCAGAATTTGTTCTCAATGAGAAACAGAGTCGAAACAATCAGTGGGTGAGCGGGTATTTCGATGAAGAAGAATGAAAGATGAAAAAAATTCGAAAAATCGTAGTGTGCGGAAAATGTGATTGCTATCGAAATTAATATGACCTCCAAGACAAGAAAAATTGTGGTTGTTGATGCATTTTTGAATTTCAAGGGTTTCAAGAAGATTAAGTCCAGTACCTTCATCACAAACATGGAGAATATCAAAATTATCAGGAACATTGAATGAATGATCTGAGTCGATAATATGATTGGCAAAGGAACAAGGGGAATTCGGATCCTCCGCGGACAACAATTTCGTAATCAATCTATCGTGTTCAGGAAAACGAATGTCAGAACATCTACCATCTGAACACAATGAATTGATTACAACATTTTTGTCCGCGGAGGATTCGAATTCCCCTTCTTTCTTTGCCAATCATATTATCGACTCAGATCATCAATTCAATGTTTCTAATAATTCTGATTCCCCCCATATTTGTGATAAAGGTACTAGGCTCAATCTTCTTGGAACCCTCGGAATCCAAAAATGAATCAACAACCACAATCCTACTTGTCTTACCCCAATAGCACACAACGTCCTAGGAACGTCCCTATTTGGTACAATTGGAGTCCGACTGTCCCGGATCAAAAATGAGTGTCCTTGGGACGTTTCATTCCGTACAACTCATCCAATGTCCGAGCAAGGACGTCCACCGAATGTCTCAGCTGGTACATAATTTCGAATGTCCAAGAAATAGCATCCCTTAGATGTCCCACGTGGTACATATCGTAGAATGTCTATGCAAGGACGTCCTTGGCATGTCCCTGATGGGATATGATTTTAAACGTTATATCAGGGACATCCTTCGAATGTTCTTTAGGGATATGCGTCGGATGTTCTGATTGGTTCATGATTTGTACTGATCCAATGTTCTAGAAATGACGTCCTTTGGACGTTCCAGTCGGTACTTTCAATATGTTGTCCCTGCGAGGACGTGAACTTACACCTCGCCGACGAATGATTGCTCATAGGCAATAAATACTTTTTCTTTATGTGAGTCCATTGAACATCGTTGTGAAACTTTTTTAGGATCTATTGGGGACCTTCTACGGACCATCAACTCAACTGGATGTCCCCATCCGTTATGCA